GGGGGGGGGCTGCACCCACCTGGGCAATAACTGAGCACGGAAGGGGGGAAGGGGGGGGGGGCGAACCGAAGGTCGCATAGCGCAGACGGGAAACAGCAGTTGACTTCCTAGACCAGGAATCTTTATAGTATATCCTCATCCTCATGTCTGTGCCTTTTTGTTACACATGACAGGAAGACTTTGTCAAGCCACAGATAAATGTATGACACACTTTGCATATCATCATGCATTACCCTTTAGGTATAAAAATACTTCGAAAAGTTTGAAGTTGTGTTCATTCACAAATTAAAAATCAGACTATAGATATCAAAGAAACTAACAAATTGTCTATAAGCAAATATAGTGGTCCCAAACTAAATACTGTTTATTGATGAGACAGCAACAAAAAATAAACTAACCCAAACAAGAGCACATGAATGTACTGTTCTTGGGCCATGACAACGACTCAGTGCCTTACCCACTACGCATAGTCAATGAGTGGTCAGATCGTCAGATGGAGAAGAAAATAAACAAGCAAGAAAAGTGAAATTACCTTATACGCAGGACTAAAGACATTTGGAATACATTGAAGATAATACTTAGCAAAGGCTAAAATCAAAAACAGTACATACAACACCAATTAAAAAAATATATTCAGAGTTGCGTTGCACCTAACCTAATCATAGCAATGTACACAGTTTGCATGACATGTTACGCGGAGTTTATGATTTTTCTTCGGTGCACTGTGTTAACGTAAAAGGAAATAAACAACAAATTCGAAAATTTTGGCTCAATTAAAATTCTAAATCCAGCTTTGACTGCAGTAAGGGACCCAAATATTTTTAAAAGGATACTACTAGATCTGACATGAAAGGTACGAACTGTAACCTAGCAGCAGCCGCCCCGTGTGTACAAGTAGTATCAGCAGTAAGCACTGCACCCGACCACCGTCAGACGGAGTAGGCCGCCCGGCTGGCCCGGCAACAACAGGCGACCACAACTGCGTGCGGAACACGGGTCCTTTTCATATCCTTTCCCGTGTTCCCCCGCAAGCTGGAGCTCGTCTCGCTCCCGGCCCCCCGCGAGTCCCCGAGCACATTACCTTCTCCTTTTCGCGAGCACTCGGGCGCAGCAGCCGCTGTAGCAGTGGTTGGATGACACTCGCTCAAAGTCGGGTCCGGACGACGCACGACCTCGACGCGGGTGACCCGATGAACCCGGCCAACTCGTAAGCGCACGCTCTTCTTCCTCGCTCACGGTGTCTTGGGGCTCGCGGAGGAGCGCGGCGCGGGGCGCGGGGGCAGCGACGCGGCACGGGGCGGGGCGAGCGCGACGAAGAGGAGCTGCACGAGGCCGAAACAGACGCCCGGGCCGGACTGACTTGACTGAAGCTGAAGCTGAAGCCAAAGTGGGGAGGGGGGAGGGAGGGGGGGCGCCTGCCTGGCTGGCCTGGCTGCGGAGCCTCGGATTTTACTGCACGGCCAGGAGTTCTCCCTATCAACAAACTCGGGCGCCGCCGTGGTTTGGCGCGTCATTTCAAATGTCGGCGGCCAACCCGCCGTGAAAAAAAATATCTGTAGAAAAGGAACCTCTGAAAACGTCCTCCCCTAGGACCGATCAGACCCGTTGGACCTAGCAACGGTTACCGTTTTCTTGTCTCTTACTCTGTAAAATTATGTTTCTTGTTTGTTGTTCATGTTTTTAGACAGTCCCCAAGACTGCCTCTACCAGAAGGAAACGTGTAAACAAATAATAAATATTGAAAAGATCATGTGGGCAGTTTTTATTGTTTGTATTTAAGCAAAACATGTCAGTTCACAATATTTAGTCATCTATGGATACTTTCATCTGATTACAGATTTAGCAGTCAGTCATTTGGTGGAAAACACTTTTGCAGAATCCTTGGCAAAAATTAAATACCACTGTGGTACTTAATTATCAGCTAGGTTCAGATAAGACTTTGAAACAAATTTGCAGAAGAAAAATAGCGAATCATAAAATTATATCGGACATCAAATATGAAAATTGATGCATTGGATGTATAGTTACGGCAATAGGAAAAGCGGCTACAACAAAGTACCAGATTGAGTACTACAGAGACAAATATCAGACCGTGGCCTCTTATTGGTAGGCAAATTACTCTTATGACAATATTCTTAGGGCTTAGAAAATTAAACTTTTGGTCAAATGTTTTTTTATTACCAAGTTGTAGGGAGAAACTCAATGTGTTTTTCTTGAAACCTTAAAATAAGTCAGTAAAGAGACATACCACCACCTAAATTTTCTAGTCTGACAGGCGGATCTATGAACGCTAACCAGTCTGAAGAGTGGGATGGCAACAAACCCATGGATTGACATTTGTATAAAGCTAGAAGCATACCAACTATATTTCCAAGAAAGTAGACAAGTTTCTGCATTATAGCATGATTTCCCTCTATCATTTTGAATGCTGTAAAGAATAATAACATTAAGGGTCATTGAAAATTATAAGCTGCAAAAATGAAATAAGGTGTTTGCGGTATTTGTTCTTAAGCTGCACTCTTTTTACTGAATTTGAAACCAAAGAGTATGGGTATGCGAGTTTTTTCTGTGACTCCCCTTTAAAAACTTGGGGTGCAGCTTAGAAATATGAACGTCTAAGAATGAGATAGACACGGTAATTCAAACTGTCAATAGATTTGTACTTACTACTCTGTAAAGTAAAGAGGGCCTTAAAGGGTCGAATTAACAACATGCCAACCATCATTATAGGGAATGGAGAAATGGAATTGCCAGCCATGTACATTATGAAGAGGTTCATGGGGACCTGGAAAGGTAATATATTTATTATCATGTTGGTCAAAAAATGTTAAACTAGGGGCAAAGTGAACCTACTTGTTTCAGTGGTGCCAGAGCAAGTTCCCATGATTTCTTGATTATCAAATGAGAGGGATCATTGTCTTTTGATGTTTCAGTATGCGCTTGACTGACAGCAGGATTGAAGCCAGGAGGGCAAAGCGCATCTTGATTTGTACCTCTTCTGTAAAGTCAGAGTTGTTAAAAGTGCAGGCAGATTATTGGAAATGCAGTTATTTTCAAGTAAAACAACGTTTCTGGTGGAATTTGGTAAATTGCATACGGTTATGTTCCGCATAGAATGCGGTTCTCGTACCTCGCAGTGAAATCCAAAGCCCATTTGTACTTCTTAGCATTTCCGCGGTGGGCTGACATATTAGAAAATGACGAAAGTACGACTACAAAGTTAAAACCAAATACTGAAGGGATGTAAATGTAAGTAGGTTTTCGTAATTTGCTGATCACTGTAAATATGTCAGACCGTGGCAGACGACAACATACAGTTTAAATGAAACGGACAGGCTAAAGGGAGAACTCAGAAGTGACGGTATGACGTCAACTAACGACAACGTTGCGCTAGCGGAGCAGCATTTTCAGAGGGCCGTGAGAACACAGCCAACCCGCCAAAAATTGAAAGCATCCTGGAAGAGGTCGAAATGACGTCATTCTTAGCTTAAAGCAAAAACAATAAATAGCAGGATAAAGCGAGGTTGAGGAGTGGTGAGTTGTTGGGTGGGCGTTACGTAAAAACAGAGACGGTTATAATCACAAATCGGACGCGAGACGCCTGTGATTAGTAAGCGACACCAAACACGCAACAACCATGCATCAACCAGGCAATAACCATGCATCAACTACGCACTAACCAAACAACCATGCTTCAACCAAACAACTATGCATCAGCCAAACAACCATGCACAACCAAACAACCATACACCAACCAAACAACCACGCTTCAACCGAACATCACCATGCATCAACCAGACATCGTTGGATCTGCTAGAGTCGGGACAAGCAGGTCATTAAGTCTGGGAGCTATGTTATTCCCCGGCTATGCCAACCAGAAAACAGAATGTTGAATTACTTCCAAACTTTCAAATTTCCTACCCAACAAACAGGCGCCTCAGTGTCCCCCCTATGGACGCCAGTGTTGGCGCCTGCAACGCGCTGTGTAGGCCAACCCGCCAAGCAGATACGTGGAGACGGTGGCCCGCCACCGGCCACATTCCTGTTTGTAGCTACACCGTTGTAGCTACAACCACCAACGGGCACAGGCATCTTCGTCCGAACCGACTGTAGGCCAAAGACAATCCGTTCCGCACCGCCAATGTTTACGCCCACATGTTTACGTCGTGGGCCCCACCCAGTACAAGTTTTAGACAGTCCCCAAGACTGTCTCTACGAGTGGAGAAATGACTTCTTCTTTGTTAAAAGTAAAAGACATACTCACCGGGAATGAATCGCTGACGAGCCTTATCTAGGAGGGTCAAGGCGGGTCGAGGGTCCCATCGTCGGAGGGTCGGGACGCGGCGTCGGCGTCGGTGCTCACGACGGCGTCGGTGTTCACGACGGCGTTGGCGTCGGCTCCGGCGTCGGTGCTGGTGTCGGCGTTGGTGGCGGTCGGTGGCGGAGATAGCGGCGGAGGCGGCGGCGGAGGCGAAGGCGGGAGGCGGCGGCGGAGGCGGAGGCGGTGGCGGGCGACGATGGTGACGACGACGCCGCGTCTCCGCGCGGAGTTCATCCTCGTCAAACACTGGCGGCGCCGACGCTTTATTAAAAACAT